TATATATATATATGTATATCGTAGTCGTAGTCGTCGTCCTCCTCCTCCTCCTCCCTACACCACCCACTCCCCATCATCTCCCTACAACCCACCACCACTCATTACACTTACTACCGCCATTGCGGCTACGACAAACTCTCACTCTTTCTATTTCTACTATTCTTCCCTTTTTATTTTATATACAAGTATTTCAACGTTGATACCTTTCTTATATTTTAATTCATCCAGCGAGATTTTGACTAAAATTTCCTGTCAAGCAACTTTTACTGGCGCATTCTTGAGTAACGCGACAATATATAACTCTTAGAAAAGGATTCTTCATGAGTTGGCAGACGTGTCCGCAAAACTTTCTCGCACTTCCCGACAACGCGCAAGAGTTTGCCGCAAGAAAACTTTTCCCGGATCTACCCGAAACATTAAATTAGGTCATATCACATGGACACCAAGTTACACTTTCCAGGATTACTAAATACTTTTGACTTTTAAATAATTAATTCCACAATTAATCACCCGATCAATTTTAATAACTTACGTTTTTGTCAATTAGTTTCATTCATATTCATAAACTTTAATAAAAATAAAATAATATGTCTAAAACTTTTGGATTTTAATTCTTTCAGTAAATTTAAAAATTTAGATTTATTACAGAAAATAATCCAAGCAATCAAACTACCTTAAAGCTTAAAAGGAATATTTCAAAGAACTTGAATAAAAAAAAAATAGTAAATAATTAAAGTGATGGTGAATCAACTGGATCTAAGTGTAAAGTCTTTGATAATTTTAAAAAATAAGCTAGAACCTTAAACAAAAGAAAACTAGTTACAAAGACCTTCCGATAATTAACTGAGTTTTTTCATCGTAATAATTATCACTCTACCCTTCACCGCAATAATTTTATCAGTTGATATCTTGCTCAAGAGTATGAAATACCTCACACGTATAAATTTTAAATTAAACCATGCAATGATTTACTGTATCTCATTACACCTTTCTGGTTTTTCATAATTTAACCCTTTCATATATAATAACTTTATACTCTTTTGATCCCTTACAACTTTTTCTTCTTCTTCTACAACTACATAAATTTTTTGCACCGTAATTCTCATTATAATTTACTAAGTACACATCTTTCATTTTCTCATGATTCTAGGGTCGTTTGCTACCCTTTTCTATTTTTTTTTTTTTTTTTTTTAACCTACTCATACCACACGCAATATTACTACTCATGCTCCCTTTCTATCACCCACCCTCTGTACTCTTTCAGTAAACTACGAAACTAACGGCACATAACCCGGGAAAAACCCTGGAAAATCGAACGCCATGTACAGATCTATAGGTATATAGACCACCAATAAAAGCTTTAAAAGGACGATGTAAAACCCACGCGACGATGCGTCAATGTGTGCATAGGTAATAAGGTAATAGACAATATAGGTGCGAAGCGTATTAATCGTTTGATCTATTGAGCCATGTAATTGTTTAAATCGGCATTAAATTACGGCTTTATCATAACGCAATTATCATACGTAAGATTTATGGTACGTCTATGATTTTCTACACATTATATTATAATAATGTATTTTATTTTAGTTATTTTTTTTTTTTTGTTTCGTGTGTATATGTGAGTGTGTGTGGTGTCAATGACATCTGTAGTGTATTGATCGACTCACAAAAGTGGTTTCCTGGTCCGGCGTAGTGGTGGCCCTTGTAAGCCGCGAAAAGCCCAGGGTTAATGCCAATCTGAAAATAAAAAAAAAAAATTAGATTAAATTAAATTAAATTGAATTAAATTAAATAGAATGAAATCAGAAGAAGAAGTTATAGTATTATCATGACAATTGATGGAATAAGTAGAGTAAAATGTTTATCAAGTATTTAACATTCTTAAGGACACTTAAATGTCGGTCGATAAACTTTTTTGTGAGGTAAATAAAAAGTTAAGAGCCGGATAAGTTTTTTATAAGAATGCAACAAATGGATTTGACTAAAAGATATTTAGCTTTTTATTTTTATTTTTTAACAACTTTTATCGGTTTTGTAGTTTTTATTTTCATTTTACGGATGTATCGCTTAACTTTTACGAGTAGAGGGAAGAAAAAGTTTTCGAGCAGGATATAGATCGGAATGGTGGTATTTGTTGAGAAGGTTTGGAATAATTTCAACAGCCACGGATAGCAGAGAGATAGTAATAGAGTAGAAGAGATACATGTAGTATTTCGTTAATCTGAATTTGGTAACGGTGATGATTATTATTATGCAACGGTCGGTCGAACACGCCGGTTACCTGTTGCACAACACCCGAGATGTTATATTCGCTCTTTACTTTACTTTTCAGATTAGGTAACTAATAACCGGCCAGACCAGAGAGTCCAAGGATAAGACATCATCAAGTAATACTTGTCAGTATGGTACATGTATGTATAGATAGATATAGATATAGATATAGATATATAGATAGTACATTCTCGAGGGCGTTATTAATCGCGCGCGAGTTCTCTTTCAAAGACAACCTTGCGTAATAATGACTACGTGAATTGGCTGTGACGTACTTAATTCATATTGATGTGACGAGTGATAAGATTCTTTAATGTAATCAAAAATAATATTTATTATACACTACTTGTTAGACAATTTATTATTCAGAAAAAATTTTATAGATAATTGATTACCGTGAGAGTTTAGATTTAGCTGGATATAAAGAAGCCGAGTCATAACGATTCACGGTGTGTATGTGTATATCAAAGTTTATTTATGTGAAAGCAAAAATAATAAAAATAAAAAATGTACTTTAGTTGTATTTAAAACGTATCATTTTAGAGAGCTGTGAGTACGCCATGTGGCAGAGCAATAACCGAATTTCCGCGGATCGACGCGTTCCACAGTCGAATGACGAATGAACCATGAGGATGAGGGCGCGTGAGCAATTATCGGCATCGTGCTCCATCATGCAGTACGTTATCGCATTAAACGGGCTTTCTCGCCCGCAACATGCCCATGATGAATATATGTCAGATACTATACGTGCATTTTTTATTATTTTTTTAAACTTTCTATTTTCTTCGTTCGCTTTTTTTTTTTTTAATTCTTATGTCAGTGATTCATTTAAGGGTGTCGAACAGTTTTTAAATCTCAAAAAAAAAATTTTTTTTCTAATTGATGTAAAAAAATGTTTTACTGTAACATAAACTTGTAATTATTCTTATTTACATAATTAGATAATTACATACCAATAATTAACAGAAAGATTGATTGTAGAACTCAATATGAAATTTAAAATTTTTAATTAATTACCAAATTATCATATTTCAATGCGCTACTGCTTAAAATATACATAAATTTATGTTTCATAAAATACATTTATTTACTTTATTATTCAAATGCATTGAGTGTAAACATTTAAAAATAAAAAAAAAAAAAACGGTCTTCATACACGACGCGCGCTCTCGATTGATTCTGCTACTCGAAAGATAGCGACCCCGCTATTTATTATAATAATTAATTTCAAATTAATTAGTGCATCTATTTAAAAAAAAAAAAAAAAAAAAAAAAAAACCAATGATAATATTTAATGGAATTATGCAGAAATGATTACTAGGTAACATTAAGTTATTGATTAGTTGAGTAGTTGGAATATTACATACACACTAAGACTGTATATTGAATAATATAATAATATATAATTTTCTTCGCCTTTTGATCACATATTACAAGCAGTACTTAAATCCTATACGATAAGTATAGAGCAATATAGATTGTGATATAATTTAATTAATCGATAAGTATTCAAGTAGCCGATAACAATATTTGGTTATTTTTTATAATAATTTAATCAGCAAGTTGTCGAATATTGATAAAATATATAAATAAAAAAATAAAACAGTGTATTAATAATAATAACAAGTGAAAAAAATGACTTACGATAATAATATCAAGATTATCGGTAAGATGATCGGGGAGCACTCGTTTGCTAACTTCCTCTTCAGGCATGCCATCGAACCTGTCGTGTTTTTTTCTTTCTTTGTAGGTTTTAGCACGTTTTTTAGCCTCAGCAAGCTCCGCCCTAAGTGAACAAGAACAAATTGTACATATAAGACACGTCTTGTCGTTAGTATATTTAACTTTTCATTTTCACAACCTCCAGTCCAAACACTATCTCACTCACTCACTTACTCACTCGCTTCTTTTTCCATCACACAATTTGCCTAACAAATGACGTGACACACTGTGCATACTCGATATTTAACCATCACCATTGCCACCATCTCTCCTCATGCATTCAGTTTCTTTAATATTTTACTTTTAAATATTTAATATTTACATTAAAACACACAAATTACCCAATATTTTATCACAATATTCTTTTTTTGTACCACATTCATCAGATAAATTAATTAATTGAATCAATGTCTTATTTAATTATATAAATGTCATAAAAATATTTCAGTTAGAGAAAAAAATATCAAACAAGTAAATAATTAAGTAATAAATTTAATTTATTAATAATTTTCAACGATTTCATCTTTTTAAATCGACTAATAAAATAAATTGGAAAAAGTATCAGAGTAAAAAAATCTAGCATAAAAAGTTTTATTGAAGAGTATTAAAGTTTGATTGACCAGAGTTAATTAATTAAAAGCGAATAATTCAATTAAGGAAAATAAAAACTTACTCTTCAGGTGTAAGTATCATTTCTGACTTCTTCTTACGGCCTCGTTTCTTCGGTTGATGGGGTAATTGCATTGAATTGAGCCCACCATTCATCATCATGCTCATGTGATGCTGCTGTTCAAGCTCAAGCTGATGTTGTTGCTGTTGTTGGTGATGATGTTGTTGCTGATGATGATGAAGTTGCTGTTGTTGTTGTTGCTGGAGCAGATGTTGCTGTTGCTGCTGCTGTTGTTGACTGGGCATAGGGCTTGGGGACGATGATGACGGAGTACCAATACTTGACTGTATGTTACTACTTGTAGAACATGTCAGCCCATCTATGTTTTCACCAGGACTACTCGCCGTTCTTATGCCGCCGCTCATAGACATTTCCTCGTCGACAAACGAATAAGGGTCTACTGGTGTTTCACATTTCATCGGTACCTAAATCGTAGTGAATATTTATTAGTTAATGTTCAAATATGCAATATCGACGTTCTAATTAGCAAATTGTCTAACTTCATTTTAGAGAATCATCCATTTGTACGAAAAAGCAATTAGTTTAAAATTTATTATCACTTTAAAAAACCATTTAATATTCAAAAAAGGTATAATATCATTGGATTATTGCTACATCAAAATGTTCAAAAATCATCCTCTAAAAAATAATAAGTTAGACCAATTGCTAATTAGACCGTCGATATATATTTTGTGATTATTTTATTTATAATAATCAAATCAACTTAAAAGTATATTAAAATCTTCAGTTTAGATTTTGTTAATTTTAATTATTTAATATTTCATCTTCAATTAATTTAGTTAAAATTTATCGTTCTTTTATTATACTTCAATTAATTACGATAAATTATTTTTATTTACTTTCTCAAACGAGTACAGAGTAAACAGTAATTTAAATACTGGATAGTCTGCATAAGGTATTCACAAAAATATGTACAATATTTGAACTACAAGTATGTATGAAATTTACAAATAATATTTGCGAAAACTTTTGAAATATTTGATAATTATCTTGAAACTTTTAATCATGGAAAAAATTTATAAAGCTATGTTATTAATTAGCAAAAACGCAGTGATTTTTTTTTATTAACATAAATGAGTTAATAAACTTGAAATATTAAATTTATTCAGACAAAAATTTGCTTACAATGTAGTAGCAATGCGTTCCAGATAAATTTTATTAATTAAATCAAATTGATATTTTAATTCACTTCTTTTAGCTTTTAATATTCATAACACAGTTTTTTTTTTAACTTAATTAAAATCAAGTTCGTTTGAGTCAATGCACTAATTAATTTAAAGTCAATTCATTAAAGAGAAATAATTCATTGTTATTACCCAAGTAGATTTAAACTTAATCTCATTTTCTCAAATCATAGTAATTTCAATTAAATTCATTGCTTACGACCCAGTTTAAATAGTTCGATATTTTCACTTTTCAAGAGAGAATATAAAAATATTTATAAGTAATTCTGTTACCGTAATAAAGCTTTTAAGAATTTTGAAAATTTTTACACAGGATTAATTTGAAGAACAAACATTGTATACTATTAAATTTATTAATTCTTCTTGAAAAATTAATTAATTCTTCTTATTTCATGCGTTTAAAAAATGAAAAAATAAATTCGAGATTGTCAGGCAAAAGCACAGTACTTTGGACTCAAGATATGCAATTATTAAAATGATAAAAAAAGTTGGAGTAATATATTGACAATGATTAAAAAAAAATATATATAAATATAACAGAGCAACAATAAAAAAAATGACTACAAGGTGAAAAATGTGATTGTAATATCTAATATGTAATAAGAATAAAAGTGAATATAAATCAAATGAAAAGTACATTAAAATCTACAATACATATGAATGTAATGTAAAAGTTGGTGACATTTGACCTGGATAAAATAAAGTCGTGACAATCGTCATCATCGAGGTAGGAATCAGTAAAGCAGTATCGGGTGTATAATTTCATTCTGATGAGAGAACTCGGATCGTGGTCGAGTGTGCTTCGTTAAGTCAAGTATTAGCACCTGTTACCAAGTGAGAGAAGAGGATGAAAAGAGAGGAGAGAGATTGGTGCATAGATGGGTGATTGTTGGAGAGTAAGAGAGAAAATTATCGAGAGAGTGGATGGATAGTAGAGTGGACGGGAGTGTGTGGGCGGATGGATGGGTGGATGGATGGAAAAGGGCGGAACAGGAGTAAAAAGGGTTGAGGCTGAGCCCTCAGGGATGATAGTGTCATCGTTTGTGGTCGCACACCGTGATGGCAAATGAGTTTGCTCATGAGTGTGTGAATGTGTAAGTTAGTGTGTGAGAGTGCTGCGCTGTGCGTTGTGTGTTCCGTACTCTCTCACCTGTCCTAACGTGGCCCCAGTGGAGCTTGGCTGTTGGGGCTGATGCGACGTTGCCGATATCGGTGTTAACGGTGTATGGGGTGTGTGCGGGGTGTGGGGCGTATGCGGCGTCAGTGGAGTGTGATACTGCTGGCTACTGTCACCCCCGTTGCTTCTCATCTCCAGGTCCGGACTCGTCTCGTAACCGTCGTCCCGTGCCTCCTGCTTCACCATCAACCCTGCCGGATACAACACATATAATATAATATCGCTATATATATATACCACCGTAATATGTTTAGTAAACTATATTTTGATTTAGTTATATGTTATATGTTATGTATATATTTAAATGCGTGTATATGGTTTCCGGTTTAAACCATCCAACATGTCTAGTCAAGTTTGTTATGACAGTCAATAGGATTAATTTGAAACTTACCTTGAGAACCAGAACAGTTCATTGTACTATTATTTTGCACGCCATTTTGCACCGGCGATGGGTAAGACCTGCAATCAGAATGAAAAAAAATCATCATTTTTTAATCAATTCATTTTGTATTTTTATAACTCGTTCGATTTAATGTTTATTAATAACGCATGAAAAACTGGTAGATGTCCGAAAAAATTCAAGACCAACTTTTATTAACTGTTTTACTTTTTTTTAGTTTTTGAATTTATTATGTTTGATATCTATGTGAGCGGAAAAACAAAATTAATTAAAACCTTCGCTGGACAACAAAATAAGTTTTTATAAAATTAATAAATTTTTATTTTTATTTTGTTTTTCAAACCAAGTGAGTTTTCGATGAAACTCAGCTACACAAAAAAAGGGTTCACTTGAGCCAAGAAAATATTTTTCTTCCTAATTATTTTTTTGAGCAAAAAAAAATTTTTTTTGACACAAGAAATTTCATTTATTTAATTCCAATAAAATTAATTCTCTTGCTCTAAGAAATACGTATTTTGATCCAAGATAATTGATTTAAGTCAAGAAAATCTTCTTGTTTTTAAACAAATTCAGCCTCTTATTCCAAAAAATTGAATATCTCGATAAAAGTGAATTTTTATTGATTAACATGTCAAATGTGAATGACATTAAAGTTAGTAGTCACGAGAAAATTTTTTAATTTTGTTTAACAAAAAAAATTTGCTCCAAAAAATTATTTTTAAAAAATTGCATTTTTTATTTTTTAAAATTTCTACATGTCAATTTTTTTTCTATTTTTTTTTTTGCCATAATTTATTTGTTAAAAAAAATTCTAAAATATCTGCTAAATTTATTATCATCAAATGTGAAGATCAAATAATATTGAATCATTTTTTTTTATTCAATATGTATAATTGCACGCTAAAATAATATAAAATGGGTATCAAATCAGCTGAAGTAGGTGGCGTTGCTTCCCTAAAGTATCTAAAAATCTTGATCTAATATAAAAATTTATTGTATCAAGTATTTATGGTAATTTGAATTTAAGAAAAAATGACTTCCACCAAGAATAGAATTTCTCAAAAAATTTTTACTTCGGCCAATACAACAACTTCGGTCTTCCTTCAGGCACCCGAAAATTTTCTTGAGCCAAGAATTTTGTTCTCCAGTCAAGAAATTTTTCTTTCTGTGTACAGATTTATCATATTTTTCGAATTTGTGTCATGTAAAAATAAAAGTAAGCTTTATCCAAATTTATATAAATAATTAATAAGATTTTTTTCCAAAATTGAGTTTGATTTAATATTATTTAATCGTTTATTCAAAACTAATTACATCAAAATGAAGAATTTCATAATGTTTGCAGGATAATTACTATGATGGGCAAGAGTGCTTTTTATTTTTCAAGCGTATAATAATAATTACAAAACAGCATAATTTCTCGAAAACTCCATTTTTTATCACAAGTTTAGCTAACGGAATTATAAAATTAATTTTTTTTTGTTGATTTTAAACTTAATTTTTTCAGTGTTGATCCCATTAAAGTATTGGTGATTTTTTTTTTAAGTAAATGAAAAATTTGTTGCTATTAACAGAAAACGACGTCAATTTTTAACAAATTATATATCATTTTGAGTTATGAATGCAATAAATATTTATGAGATAATTGGTAAAAACCAAATGGTAAAAAAATTTTTCGAAACATCACTATAAAAATTTCAACTTTCAACTTACAAATAATATCTTAAATATTAAAAAAAATATCTCTTTTTATAAAATAGAATAATATATTTGAAGATGTCTTAAATCTTCTATAAAAAATATTTAGTAATTTTTTTTCACTGATAAGTACTATTAAGTCTAAGTTTTTCAACATAAATCACTCGTGAAAAATTAACTTGAAGTACAGTTTCTTATAAGTTATAAGCTTGCAGTGTCGCTAATGTGTTTTATCTTAAGGAGTAAAAGTTAAAAATGTATACAAAGATTCAAATTTAAACAAATCAATAGAATGCTTGCAACGATTTTTCAAGACACAATTTAATATTTTAAGTCTAAGCATAAAATATCATTGCAAATGATTTAGTTAAAACTAAAAATAAAATATCCTTTTAAATATTACCATCACAATCCGTAATAAATCAGAATTTGAATAAAGTTTAACAATATTGTCAAAGGAGAAATATATAAAAATACTTTTATGTATATGATTGTTTAGCAACCAACAAAGAAAAAATGACGTTATTATCCCAAGTGTATTTAATAATCATGTTCATTGAAATAAATAACTAAATAAAAAAGAACAATGCGCATAATTTAAACATGAACAATTACGCAAGCTGATAGAAAGTATTTGCAGCAAAAGAAAAACTTGGAATAACAATAACAGGCTGATAAACCTGCCAGTTGCATTTCGTCTTAAAACTAATCTTGTAACTGGAGAAAAAAAGGTGCACCGGACATATTTACACCACAATAAATATTTCTTGTCATAATAATTTAACAGTATATAAACCAACAAAAAATCTATACAAATACATGTACAACATAAAAAAAATATAAATAAATAAATAATAGATAGCAAGTAGAGAGACAGAACTGACAGGATTTTTTATTATGAAAATGATGATTGGCGTGCGGCAAAGGTATTCACGATTTTATCTTAAAGTATAGTCGAACTCAAGTGATTAAATTATGAGTTTAGTTACCCGGGGAATTTAAAATATTTATGTATCTCTAGCACTCTCCCAAAATATGTCACTTGACATTTATCTCAACTTGATGTTATATTGTTCTCTCTCTTTCTCATTCTCTATCATACTGGCACCCTTTTTTTTTAGTTAATCTTCCCATTAAAGCTTTCCATATTATTTTTTTTATCTTCATTCCTTAAAACCCCTTCATTCGGTGGTACTGTTTTTTTTTGTTAATTTTTTTTATGCATATTTTTTGTTGTTTTTTTTTTCTTTTTTTTTCCACCATGTCAGTTCGCTAATTCGAAAATACCTGGCTGGAATGATTTTGTAGCTGGAGTATACCTGGCTTATGTACTTTTTACGTGGGGCTGTACTTGGTACATATGTACTCGGAGGGCTCAGTGTATATATGTACAACATATAAATATATATACATGGAAGCAGCATACAATACATATAACGCACACAGCACACCGGTGTACATAGAAGGTTGATGGTCGAACGGGTGTGCAAGCGAGCAAACGAGTGTTGTGAGAGTTCAGCAAGAGTGAGACCAACTTGGATACATAAGCCCTTGTAAATATGTACTGGGAGTTAAATACACAAGCTAGTATATACAGATACATATACATATACATCTACACCCGGTGGAAGAAGGGCGAGAAGGGATTATCGGGGTGTAAAAGGGGAGGCTGGTTGGTTGGCGTGTAGGAGATGGTTGGTTGGTACATAGAAGTACTTGCTGGAAACGGCGACTAGGGCAGCTGCTGGCGGGGAAGAAGAGCGCTATCAAGAGAGAGAAAGCTTGGAGAAACGAATGTCTAGTGATGGCTAAACGTACTACGTATTTTCAAACTGAACTATTTTTTTTTATTAAAAAAAAAAAAAAAAAAAAAAAAAACAAAAATTAATGCTTTTTATTAATTCTTTTTATATGTAGGTCATGCTTTTACTATTTCAAATAATATTGCACATCTTAACACGGTGCGTTATGTTCTCGCTTAATAATTTGTCATCAATACATTCACTGGAAATCGCTCCGCAGTTCATCACATGCAGGATGATAAATTGTGACAAAAAGTATGCTATCAAGAGGATACTGCGAAAAACAAGATTGATGTCGTTCGAGCCAATTTACTTTCATATTTTTCATATTTTGTAAGGAAATATTTATTTGCTGGTTTAGATTGGTCGGGTTATAAAAGTACAGATTCATATGAAAAAATTATCAATGCAGGATTAATTGAATCCACTTTTTTCAATTCACTTCATTATCTGTTAGAATATATATAGAATAAACGTGCAAATGTAATATGTATTTCAATAATGGAGAAGATATGAAATAACTTTTTTGTTGAATGTTAAAATTATTTCTACTCTTTAATTCACGACTATAAGTTCGAATGTACGCATATTTGAGGGAATTTGTTAAATAATATCTTTGACATAATTTTAAGGGAATCGATGTATAGATGGGTTATTAAACATTTTAAATTATTCCAATCCAAGAAACCAGAGATATAAATTGTCAATCATTGGAATTATTTAAACGAATTGCGGTGAAATATACACTGATGGAAGGATTTATTAACTATTAATAATTTAATTTATTTGAAGACAATTATTTAATTTATTAAATTTTAATAAATATTTTTTAATATTTAATAAATATTTATTTGGGAGGAAAGTACATTCATTAATAGTTAATAAGTATTTATTAATAGTTAACAAATATTTATTAACAGTTAATAAATATTTTGTTGAGTGAATTTGTTTCGCTTGCAATGACATATGATATGAAGATTGCTTATAAACAAAAATCGTCTTTATAAATTATTTGCATTAATTATATTACATATTATAATAACGTTTATTGTAAAATACCGAATTCTATCACATCTCATAATTATCTTTTATATTTTTAAATATTAAAAAGGTTAATTTATTTAGTGAATTTAATTATTATCATGTATTCCAGCTATGGGTTATAAAAAGTGCCAAAAGAAAATTGCTATTTTTGCTTTTTATTTTAAATAAATATTTGTTAACAATTAACAAATATTCATTGACCATTAATAAATATTTGTTAACTGTTAATAAATATTTATTAACATTTAATAAATAATTTATTAACTGTTAATAAATAATTATTAAATCCTATGATGTTAAAAAATCATTTATCAACAGTTAATAAAGCTTATTAAATATAAACAAATCCTTCTATCAGTGTATTTTTTTTATTTCAACAATGTACTTTGTGACAAGATGACATTTTTTTTTCTCTTAAGGATAAAATATGGTTAATAATTGATAGTAGTAAGAAATAATTTCATGAAAAAGTTGACCCACGATGTGGATTACAACAATAAAAAACGCAAAATAAATTAAAGTTTATTGTAGAAAAAAAATT